CAGGTTCAATCCCCTGTACCAAAGAAAAAAAAGAAAAACAAACACTAAAAAGTTTTACAACATCTCTGGAGGAGAAAGGACTTTTTTTGGGGGGTGGGGGTACCAGTGATTGAACCCCAAGCAACATCCCCGGCCCTTTTTAGGGCCTCACTAAGTTGCTGAGGCTGGGTTTGAACTTGCAATCCTCCAGCTTCAGCCTCCTGAGCTGAGAAAGGACTTTCTAAGCTATGAAACAAAGGAATAAATCAAATACAAAGAAAATTAGTAATAGATTTTGTTACTATAAATGTTAATTTTCATGCATCAAAAAAGTGATGGCAAGGCTGGGGTTGTGGCTCAGTGGCAGAGTGCTTCCCTAGAATGTGTGAGGCACTGGGTTTGATTGTCAGCACACATATAAATAAAACAAAGTCCTGTTGACAACTAAGAAAATATTTTTTAAAAAAGTAATGGCAAACACCAAACTGACAAAGGATATCTGCAATAGATTAAGGATGTGTATGTATGGATAAGTGTATATAGACATAGATATAGGTATAGATATATATATATAGATATAGATATAGATTGTATATTATATATACATATGTATATGTATACACAAATATATGTATAGATATTTATATTTATACTGTATTAAGAATAACAGCAGTCAATTTTATTATAATTTTGGTCAAATAAGTACCCAGGTGTTCAATAGGATTCCCAAAATAAGCATCTTGCATTCTAAGTAGCTTCTAAGCAACTTTCTTAATAATTTAGTTTGAAAAGTTGTGCTAGAACCTAAATACAGTAAGTTAAAGAAAAGTACACAAACTGCCAATTCATAAATGAAGAAATACAGCTGCTTAACCATCATATAAAAAGACACTCAATTGCTAATCAAAGAAATCTAAAAAGTGAAAAACAGAGTGTAAATATAAAATAAAGAATGAGACACCAAATTTCAAGGGGAATAATTTTTTAACAAAGGTACCCATTTTTAGGAAGGGCGCAGTAAAATAGACACTCTCATTTATTACTAGTGAGTATATTAACTGGAATAAAACACTTAGGAAAAACTATTTGGTGGTCATATGTATGTAAAGAATCCCAAACTGTTCATGTTTTCTGACTTCAAAATTCCACATCTGAAAATCACACAAGGGAATAATCATAAATACAAGGAAAACTTATGCTCTCAAATTTTAATCATGATAAATTTTATAATTTAAAAAGTGAATAATTCAAATGTCCAAAAATAGGTTCCTGGTTAAGAAAAACACAATATGTTCAGTAGCTAGCTGGACTATCATGGAGCCATTAAAAATAATGCCTTAAAATATGAGCGAAATTTTTTCATTTTAAGTGGGAAATGCTGCAGAATGCAATATCATAAAAGCATATCCATGCTCGGAATTGCAATTCACCTTATTAAAATAAAGAAGAAAACTCAATTTTCAATGACAGTTGTCATTAGGTTATAAACTTTAGATGATTTTCCCTCAGTTCCATTAATCTATGTTTTTCAAATTTTCCATCATCAATAAGTATTTTAAATAATTTAGTTTGAAAAGACTTATGCAAAAATCAAGATTTATTTAGAGAAAATACTTGGAAAACTTCTCATTTAAAATGAAGGTGAGCAATCCTATAAGTAGAAAACTTCTTTAGTGTTTTAAGAGACTCTATTTTCTAAAACTGAAGAGAAAAAAAAAGTCACATATGAGAGCCAGGATTGGAGGGTTCAGAACTGGGCAAAGGGGCAAGAATAGCTTGAAAGTACAGTTTAAATGACAATTTGAAAGACATTTGAAATTTGTATCTCATTAATAAAAATACAGAAAGTAAAGTTCAACCAAACTTTCTAGATTAGATGGGAATAAACAGCAGAGAATGAGAAAGCATTCTGGGTAAGCTCTGCAATCAATACATGTTTATGAGCTATACCTTGTTGTTCATGCATATACACATGACACCATTTACATTGTTATTTCTACTGTATATCACAGGCATAAGTGTTTTGATTTTAAATGAGTTCAGTTTATTCCAAAAATAAAATTTGACTTTGTAATGACAGTGCCGTACGCAAAAAAGGGGAAGGAAATATTTATGTTTATTTAAAGGGACAGCCAGCTCAAATAAGTTGAGAAACTGTGATAAAGGCATTGTATCACTGTGTCTTCCTTCTGTAGCAGTCTGGCTTTTGCAATAAAGCCCCATTAGACTTTTTTTTTTTTGTACCGGAGATTGAATTCAGGGGCACTTAAACATTGAACCATATCCCCAGCCCTTTTTTGTATTTTATTTAGAGACAGGTCTCACTGAGTTGCTTAGGGACTTCCTAAGTTGCTGAGGCTGGCTTTGAACTCAAACTCCTCCTGTTTCAGCCTCCTGAGCTGCTGGGCCCCATTAGACTTTGATGCCCCTGTGTGCCTACCATTCTGAAGCACAGTAAAGGACCTCCCAACTTCCCTATTATTTTCTGCTCCTTCATAAGGAGGATTTCATGGAGAACTTGAGTTCTCTTTAGGTAGAAACTTGAATGTTTGAGAATTTCCTCCCAGCCTAAGTTAATTCCTTATGTGGTTCTGTCCTACATGGTCAAAAAACTAAAGGCCTCCTCTTGGATATGTCACTTATGGCAATCCTTTGCAGAAGTTAAGACATAAATTACTATTCCTGTTTTATAAATATGGAAACTAAGGCCCAGAAAAGTTGAGTAACTTCCTCAGGGCCCACACCCTAGCCTCCTAATATCAGTCCAAAGCTCTTTCCCCAAAGACTAGAACTTGCCTTAACAGTTCATTCATTTAATTCAAAAACATTTGCTGAGCGCCTATTAGGTACTAGTAATGTGCTTCTGGTACCAGAGATGATGTTTCTGCTCTTACGAAGATTACATTTTTGCAGGGGAGGCCTACAATAAATAAGTAAACAAGTGAATGTCAGACAATTTGAAGCCCCTTGGAGAAAAAAATAAGAGTGTGACAGTGACAAGATGAGGGCACTTATTCTAGATAGGGTGGTCATGAAAGTCCTCTCTCTCAGAGGGAAGAGCCAGTTAAACTAAATGTATATTTGGCAGAAGGAACAATAAGCACAATAACCCTAAGTGGGAACCATGCCTAATGAGTTTAGGAAATGGCCTGATGACCGGTGAGGCTGAAGCCTTAGGTTTATCTTGTCACACACTGCCTTTGCCTGCTCATACTTGCTCAGGCTTCTTTTGAACCTTCACTTTTCCTCTAGGTTAAGGGGTTGAGGAACACATTACCTCTTTTGTCAGCTTCTCTAAAACAGCCTATTTTGCCAGCCATTCACTCCTTCTTTTTTTTTTTTTTTAGCACCAGGTATTGAACCCAGGGCCCCTTAACCACAGTGTAACATCCTGAGCTCTTCTTATTTTTAATTTTGAGACAGGGCCTCACTAAGTTTCTGAGGCTGGCCTCAAACTTGCAATTCACCTGCCTCAGCCTTCTGAGTTGCTGTAATTACAGGCATTCACCACCATTCCTGGCTTCCTTCATCTTCTTTTGATAAAAAAAAAAATAAGAATTATAGTTGGCCTTCATCACCCTTCCTTGGGTTCTCCTTAAGGAAAACAATCATATAAGCAAACATAAAGATCCAAGCCCATCTACATGTACACCTTGAAGACTTTATGCAAATGTACTTAAGCATGACCTAAGAACTACCATAAACAAGGCCTGACCATTTTTCAAAACCAACATACAAGGAAAATCCTCTATATAGAAAGTTTCTTCACTGTAGAAAGTACTTCAAAAATCTTGCTGTGTATCATCAGATACTGAACTCACCACCAAGCATTTTTCTTCGTTTTATTTCTGTCTAAATCCTATGGTGCAAGACTGGTGTTTTCATATGTATTCTTATCCTACTGACAGCAATGCTTGTGCTAGGTCCTTCCATTGAAATACACCCACGATAACAAAGTAAAATCAACTAAAGAGAGGATATAATAATAATAATAATAATAATAATATCAAGAGTTTATATTCACCAAACATTTATTATGTATCAAGTCCTATGCTCATTCTTATGTGTATTATGGCACTTAATCTTTACAATCCTATGATATAGGTTATAATATGGTACCTACTTAATAGATGAGAAAACTGAGGGGCTAAGAAATTAATTTGCTGAAGTCATAAGCCTAGCATCTAACTAGTGCAAGATTAGGTCTCAGATCTGCCCACTTCAGGAGCACTGGAGCAAAGAGGTAGGTGCATCTGGTTCAAAATGTGCCTTAGACTGAGACATGCCTAGACAAAGAACAAAGCTGAATCATAACAAAGGTGTTTTCCCCTCCGCACTCTTTACAAAACTATTGTCAGTCCTAGCTTTTATCAAGAAGGGTCCTGTTTCTGAAAGCTCCTGCCCCCCACATAGCTCCTCTAAAGGAAGCAAAATAAGAAGATCCGGAGAGGCAGTTTACATACACACACACTGCCCCTCAGCATTCTGATTTAACTGATATTGCATTCTTAAAATAATGGACTCCATTTCTTAGTCTGCCTCTTCTCCCTGAATTTGATGCTCTTCCTTTGAGATAACACTTTCAAACCCATTTATAGAAAGCTGAAAAGCTGGAGAGAGGCCTTTACTTCTCTCAGAAGCTGGTGGCCCCAAATCCAAACAGTGCATCATCCCAGGGCTTTATCTTTCTGACTTCTACTGAAAGTCAAAACACAAGTCGAAAGCCCAGTTCTTTCTCAGAGTGAAGGTAAATTTTGGACCAGGTTTTCCAACTATAAAGGGTGTGTAATACACCCACCACAAAAAGCCCTGGTGAAGCCCATCTGGAGAGCAGGAGGCTCAGGTAACAAAATCTACAGAGAGGAACCTAGGCCAAAACATACCGATCATTTCCCTGGGCCAAACCTGAGGCATTCCTGAGGCCATGAGATGGGCCTTGGAAAAGACCTCTATGAGTTTGGCTTTAGCCCACTACTACCTGTGCCCTTGGCAGGTTCAGGCCGCCCTCGCAACATACTTACAGCACACACAAGCAGTACACGCCTGGGACACTCTCGCTGTCCCTCAGCAAATAGCTGCCATCCAGCCCCGTGGCAAGCAGGAGCTTCTCTCCAGTCTCCCTGCTTATTTTCCCATGATACACAGTCACTGCATCCATGGCCTGGTAGACTCTGGGTGGGCCTAGGCAGAGGACTGTAAAAAGGACTTGGTCGCTGCTGCTACAGCCAGGCACAAATCAGCCACCTGACTCCCAGTTCAGCCAGATGTGCAAAAAAGAGACAAGCGCCCGAACAACAGGATGTTGTGTATCTGCCTTAAAACCTCCTTTTCACACTTCAATTAAAACCAGCTCAGCAACTTAGCAGCTAGGTTCCTTCAAACTTGCCACAAACTTTGATGTGCTGCTCTCCAACATAGGGTTCATGTGGAGAGAAGAGGAACATTGGAAAAAGGACCTTGCAAGAATTGGACTGTACTGCTCCCCGTGTAGCCCTTGTACACAGAAAGGAGTGCTTGGTAATACTTCTGCGCTTGCATTTTCCTCCAGGGCCACTGGGGATGATTTGTCCCCAAAGGGGTTGATGATAGAGGCAGGTTATGCATGTCATTGTGTGTGACAGAAACAGAATGACAAAATGAAAGGCCCCAAAGCTCTAAAACCAAAACTATAAGTATACAATTACTACTGTACATGGCCATGGGGCTTCTTTCTGCAAGGTCAGAAGTCATAGGTGAACAGCAGACTTTGAGGAATCTTTCCCCTCCTCCTCCTACCTCATGAACAGGTTATTTATTTTTTATTGTTCTGGGGATAAGACCAAGAGCCTCACACATGGTAAGCACTGAGCTATACTCCTGGTCCCTTAAACAATCTTGGTCCTGAACACATACTGATTTTTCCTGACACCTTGTCTAAGATCCCAAAATACTGGTTGAGGTACAAAAATCAAAATGCATGTGCAGAGTCAGGCACAGTGGTGCGTGCCTGTAATCTCGGCAACTCAACAGGCTGAGGCAGGAAGATCACAGGTTCAAAGCCAGCCTCAGCAACTCAGCAAGACAGTGGGGGGCGGGGGGAAAGCATGTGCAAATATGTTTCAAATTTATCTATGTAATAGGTCTTAGATGAAAGAATGAATCATTTAACTGGTTCTTTGTCTTTATGTGGATGCGTATGTACACTTTGGTGTACAGGGCTCAGATTTCAGCATTTTAGCCACATAATTTGTTATGTATCATTTTGCAAGTGTTGATGACTGTGTTGTAACTTTTATTCTCTGTCATTTCTGGAGAATGTTTCTTCTGCAATTAAACCTAAACTGTCATTAATTTTTAAAAAAAAACCTTTCAACCTCATTTCCTTCTCTTATATAGTGTGGCTTCTATTTCAAAATATGCTAAGTAACATCTCCCAAAAATGTCCTCCACTTATCACCAGAATAAGACTTTATTTAATGCTGAAAGCTGAACAGCCTTATATGTGTACCTTTAGATTATGTAAAAGACTTTTTAAATTGGAATTTGAAGAGCTAAAGCTATGTTGTCTGTTGTATTGCTTCCACTGCTTCAGAGGCTAGTTCCTTAAGAATATGGCAAGGCTGGGATCTCAGTAGAGAAAATGATATTAAATCCTCAATGAATCTCAATATCTGCCTTTGGTGCAAGGCACAAAGTTTGCACCAAAGGCAGATATTTATGCCCTACCTACTAGAGTTTATAACAACCCTCTAAATTTTAGCAGTAGCCAGTAGTAACTCCTTGATTGAAGAGAGACCAGCCTTAGTAGCTAACCCACCAACAAAAGCCTCCTACAGTCATTTTCAACACTACAAAAATTTTGTTTAAAAACAGCATTCAAGGTGACATTTGGGGATGCCTCTAGGAAACTGATGATCTTATCATCTTCCAACTTCATGTGTTTTTAACCAACTCCCTGCTACATCTTTTCACAGCTTGGGTCAAGGAAGAAATCGGAGTGATATGTAAATGCATACATACTCCAATGTTAAGGACTTGAGAAATTAGTCCACCAAGGGCTCTGCATTTTGAGCAAGCAAATTGTAAGCCCAGAGAAATTAATCACAATGATGATATTTCAGATATGAAAAAAAAAGACAAGGAAGAGGATCCTCTTATATTGGTCATTATGGGTAACACCCTGTCAGATGAACTGTGAGAATATTCAGTGTCACATAGGTTAAAAACTAAACCTAACCGGTTTTGGTGTTGGTTGTTGTTTTTCTTTTTCTTCTTCTTCTTCTTCTTCTTCTTTTTTTTCATCTCTGAACAACTCTGAACAAATCGTCTACAAACTTAGGAACACAGCAACCTGGATCTGACAGCACAAGCATACCATACATTCTTCTTTTCTTTCTGTGTTTTGTTCCATGTTGCTAAAATAGCACACCTGTCAAAGCAGCCAGGTACAGCGGGGTTCAGCACAACTAAAATTGTATAAAAAAGGAACAGATAAATTATAAGGTAATAGTACAACTCTCACATCCAGTACCTCATTGTCATCTCACAAGCAAGCTGACAGCTGAGCCAGCCCACTAGTGCAGTGTTGATGAAAAATACTGACATCTTCACTCAAGAGCTACACTGGTACTAAACCTGACTTTAGCAAATTCAAACCTTCATGCTGAGCTTGAAGTATGAGAAAATTGGAATTGAAATGGCTGTCTTCCTCTACTCTCTTCATACCCATGAGAGAGGAAAGGGAGGGAAATGAGACAAGAGAACAATGGCCATAGTAGAGGTACTCTTAGACAAATGGTTAGGGAATGAGCCCCAAGAACAAATATAAATCACTTAGGAGCAGAATAATCTAACTAATTGTTTATTTATCTGTCTCCTCGACTTAACTTTAAGGTCTATTACGGCAGGATTTTTGTTTGCTTTGTTCAATATTGTATCCCAGTGTCTGGCACATAGTAGATGCTAAGTATATTTTCTGAGTGAGTGAATAAAATTAACACTCAAGACAATAAAATCACTGAAATAGTCTTTTACACACACACACACACACACACACAATTCAATCTACATACCTTGGGCCCACCTTTAAAACATCAAGATGAAATGGAAGGACCCTAGTCTAACAATTATGAAAGTTGAATTATATTCCATGTTTTACCACTAAATCTCAATCTCTCTCTCTCTCTCTCTCTCTCTCTCTCTCTCTCCCTCCCTCCCTCCCTCCCTCCCTCCCTCCCTCATTTTGTCCATCTATCAGATGCAGTTGGACCAGATGACCCCAAATGTCATTTCCAGCCTGTGCTCTAAATGAAAGCTGAAGGTGCTTTTTTAGAGAGAAACAGAGGGGAAATGAACTGTTTCTCATTTGTGTGCAAGAAACAAGATCTGTTTCCTCAAGCCTCGCTCAATAAGGGAAAGATTTTGTTCTTGTTTTCAAATAACCTATGAAGTGAAAATCATAGGGTGGAAGAAGAAAGATATACAGTTTAAAGAAAACTACAATCTTTTAGAATATAGATGTCATTTAAATCAAATATAAAAAGCCTTAAAAGTTAGAAAAACCATCAGCCAAGGTTGAAAGTGTCTTCTTATCTAAACTTGTCACCTCCTAAGGTCTCTGAGAGGTGATAGAATTTTGCATGTGGATGCCCTGTCTGAGGTGCTAATTGTCTTCATTTCAAAAGCCCTAGGCTGTTCTCAAGTCCAGGTAGTTTAAAAGAACCATGCCAAGGGTGGTCAGTTTTATAGAGTGGATCTGACATTTCAAAAATTTTTTTCCCTAACCTTTCTAAGCTAAATTTCTTCTTCCACTAGCTTATCTATAGGTGTGAATTCTCCAGTGACAGTGTTATGATATTGTCACCTGTGATGAGTTTACACATTCTCTCAGCACTTACTAAAATTTACTTCCTCTACAAAAAAATGTGAAAAGAAAAAAATTTTAAATGTCTCTTTTTTTAAAAAAAAAAAAGCACCTCCTTTAGATAATATCTGGCTATAGGAGGCTGTTTTTCTCTAAAAGCCCTTTTGAAAGTGAGAAGCCAAAGACAGGATTGTTGTATTTATTAAGCCTGCTTTAATATTTATTCTTTAAACCATTTATGAGCACCTACTACATATCAGATAATACAGTAGGTACTTAGGATAGAGAGAATAAAAGCATATGACCTGCACTCAGGTATGTTACAGGCTAGTGAAGAAGACAAGCAAACAGACTATTACAATTCACTTAAGAAATGTTGACAGAGGAAAGGATAGGGCTCTACAATGGGACATCTAGCTCAACTGACTTCTGAACCTGCATGATTTCTTCAAGATGGCAAGTTGTTTATATTTCTGTGTTCTATGCAAAACACTTTTACTTATCCTAAAAGAAAGCCCCTTAATGCTAGCTGAAACTGCCTGCTTCTGAGGTTTTATTCTTGGGGTAACAGTAACACAACACATCTGATATGGGTTATTAGATCAGACACACTGTTTTGGCCTGGATCTCATTTGTTACTATGTCGTGGAAAGTTCTTGAGTGTCGAGGTCTGTTTTCCAGGCTTATAAGCCTAGAATCTAGATCATCAGTTTATCTATTCAAGGTCACAGAACACTGAATAATTTTGGGTTTGTTTTTAAAGTGATCTAGACAGGTACAGTGGCATGCACCTGCAGTCCCACCTACTCAGGAGGATTGCTTGAGCCCAGAAGTTTGGTGTCAGCCTGGGCAACAAACCAAGACTCCATTTCTTAAAAATAAAATTAAGTGATCTAGGCATCTTATATTCTGGGACAACATGGATATACAAATGTCTTATTGACCCACTGTTCTTTTTGTTCCTTTCTAGACCAAATGAAGGCAATTCCTTAGCCATTTTTTCTTACCTTTCCCTTGAGGATAAATGAAAGTGAGTATACGATGTCCCTTGAACCTAACAGATACTTTAGACTATTCTTTCTACAGTTTGTAAACCCCTGGAAGATCTTAGCCTAGATCTTAGCACAGTATCTGGAATCTAGTTAGCACCCTCCCTTTCCCCTTCCTCTTTCCCTTATAGTGAGAACTTTCTGCAAGTAGAGAAGCTTCTAATTTTCCTCCTTTACATCATTTCTGACATTGACTATTTTGACATTTATCATTTAACAACAGTTACCCCGTGGTCTGCCTCACTTTGGTAGAAACAATTCTTCACATTCCAAACCTCAACGCTTGACAGAGAAATAAATCATCATGTAGCTCTTTTGGCCTTATCAATCCAGGTACCTTTGGATTGTGACTGAATCATCTTTCTGCCTCCCTTGACCCTGGGTGGAGGCCCTCAGAGTATGACATCATCACAAGCAAATATCACTTCTATATAAATGAGGCTCCAACTTGCCATCTAAAAATCTGTTCTGAA